TAGTAAATGATACCAATAACAGCACATTTGAGCAATGCAATTGTAGTGGATAAAATGGTCAATTTTTCCGTGCAGTACTGTACGGATTATACGCTCCTCACCGGTTAAGGGTTTGGCCGAGAGTTGTCTCCTTTCTTTTCTGGCCTAGTGCTGTTCTTTTCTACTTGGCGCCGGTCAAACTGAAGGTCACATCGCTACAGAAACTAAACGGAGTATATAACTTCAAATATGAAACTCAAGTCGATCAGTGGCGGAGATTTTTGATTTCTTCCCCTATTGTGTATTCAATTCTTTTTGATCAAAGCAATACTGGGTTTAAATTTTTTTTTGAAAAAAGCAGCCAATGTTTCGCCTTTTTTTAATTTTTTAAGACTATTTTACATTTTTGACTAAATAAAACCGAAAAAATACCGAATACCGAGTGGACCATACGCGTAACCCACTTAATGGATTTATAACAGCCATTTTTTGACATGAAAAAAGTACACGTGGAATCATAAACACCACAATTACTTTTTAGGAATTTTATTACGTAGATGTAGCACCGAATGTTCATCTGACCTTATACGAATGCCTTTTGACCTTTTCTCCCTGTTTACATTTTCCTGGATGCTGAAGGACAATGAGAAATGAGTTAACAACATTCAAATTTTTAAAAATGTTCGCAGTTGTTCGTAACATGACGAATGTTCGTCGTTAGCAATGTTACGTTTCCATTTGAAACACTGCGTTGTGTCTAAATCTAATTTTACTCGTTTTATTAACAATAGAACAGAAATAGAGCAAAAGAATAAAAAAAACACATAATACATAAGTATCGTTTGAGATTATGCGTGGGGTTAAGTGGCTATTGATTAATTTCGAAAAGATGTTTTTGATTGCCGAATGGCGTGTGCATGCACTTACCGAGTTCATTAACGAAAGTTTTTCTTCATCTAGTGTAGGGCGTGAATCAAATATTGCTATTTAATGAAAGCTGTTTCAAGTTATCTAAGAAAACGATTTCGAATCACGTAGAAATGGGAGGTGTTTTTAGGGATTCGAGCCAAAATTAGAAAAATCAAACTTTTTTCAATAGACAAATATACCCAATAGTATAAATTATTGATAGCAATGTAGAAGTTCATAATATTTAATTGATTCATCAGTTCGTTTCTACTGTAATCATTTACATCAATAATTGTGGTAATCCTTGTGATTGGTCTCATTGGTAGAATACCCCCCTGCTACTCAGACGGGCCCGGGTTCAAACCCGTGCGAATTATATGCTTTTATCTTCTAAATTTAAGAAAAATTATACTAGCATTTCAAATGTGGTGTGGTTAAGAGGAAGCAGGGTAGGTAAAGATAGATCCAGATTAGATTAATGTTCAAAATAGGACTTCAGACCTTACGTTGATGACTAATTTCACTGACTCAATTCATTAATCAGTTCAGTATGCATTAACTAATAATTATCGTGAGGATTGGTGAATATTCACACACACATCATAAAGTCGTCAGTCCTAAGACTGGTTGGACACGTACCTCCACTCTTTCTTCTATCTGTATCCAAAATTATCTTGATCAACAAATTTCACGATATAGCTTACAAACAATGTGAGATTACTTGAAACAAATCGAAACAATTGTTAGGAATTTTTGACAAAACAATTTACAAGCTTTGACCAATAATAATTCGATATTTTTAGTTTCAAATTTGGTGGAGGTGCCTGACATTTAATGTTATACAAGATATTTTAATGTTAAAACATAATAATATTAACAGTTAAATGCATCGATATTATAATACAAATAGTTTTTTACAACTTACACAAATACTGAACCGTACTATATACAAATACTAATAGATATTTTATGTATTTAACAAACTATGAAAGTCATTACCTCTCTTACTTTCGATTGGAAGTGTTTTGAAATAATAAATACTGTATTATCGATTTCTTGTCTCAGAGAAGTCAGTCTCTGTTAATTTACGATTGGATCTTCTAATTCCCACCTTGGTGGGAAGAAAACGTTTTCGTTAATAATGAAGAGAGAGAAGATTGACTTTTTTGGCCCTAACTTTCATTTAATTAATTATTTCATGAGAGCGAATCGCTTCAAAATCTTCTGTTAAATTTGTTTTCTGATTACTATTGATTTTTGTACACCGATAAACACACTTCAACGTTTTAATTTAAAACTTCAGGCAGTAGGTCATTTCAGTAGTTATAAAATGTTTATTAATCATTAATAAATAATCACTTTCAAGATCCGAAAGTGTCCTTATTGTAGGTACTATACAAAGATAAGAACAAATAGGTATATAACTTTACACAAAACGTTTAGACAAATGTTTATACATGCAGTCATTATTTAATATTTAATTGACCCTAAGTGATATTATAATCACATCAATTGCTAAAAGAATTGATAAAATACGACAGGTACAACATTATATGGTACTTTCAAACCATTTCGTATGTTTTTATGAGATGAGAATTATAGGAGCTCGAACATGAATTAGAACATGAAGTTAATTTGGGAAATTGATGGTTGTTTTTTATTAAAGAATTAATAAAAATTAATTATATATCTGCCAGAAAAACGACTATAAGTCACGATATTTTTCTGAAAGGTTATTCAACCCAAATCTTTAACATACTTAGTGCTTCAATAACAGTTACTTCGCCTGGTCGAAACTTTTCCTAAAAAATTGAATTAACAGCGATTAAAATGGCGTATTTTTAAAGCAATTCTAAAACAAACTTTTTTAGATTCTACTACATATTTGATTGTTAATCGGATTTTATAAAATGGACAAACACGGGGATGTTGATATCGACACTCTGAACAAAGGTTATCAAAATGACAACCAGTCCTTAAGTCCAGAGAGCGACAAATACCTAATAATTGCAATTCGAAACGAAATATTTGTAACTACTATTATTAAGAAGGGCTTACTTACAATAGGCAGTAGTTTATTCGACTTTCGTCCTTAATTAGGAAACCGCCCGTGTTCAGTCATAGTTCCAGCACTCACATCGAAGGACTTGGAGGTCCTTGTTGCGCGAGTTACAAAGTGTTGCTATCTGTGGAAGGTTTATGGCACGTCTGGAACAGGCGTCCTCGGCGTCGCTGTCGTCCGTCGACGCCAGGACGGCGTCGCGTGTATGCGACATGCGCAAACCAAGAAGCGGCCAGGATCATAACGACGAAATATTATGATGACGAAACGTAGCAAGGATATGAGGGCGGATTGTTTTTTTTTTATTGTTATTAGTAGCTTCATGCTTTATTATCCTATACCACTCTAAAGTAAAATACAGGGAAAACAGGGAGAGGAGACAGATTAAAAATTGTCAGAGATACTCGTAGAAGTATCAGATTGTAGGTGGACTTTTAGTTTCATAAAATAATTTCCTTTTCTTCGCCTTATTTAAAGATAACAACAGGATCAAAACGAGGATAGGGGCAAAAGACACTACGAGGGTGGTTCAATAAGTACCCGTGTTAGAAATGAAGACACCTTTGTTTTTAAAATTTGTTTTTTTATTTTTCAACATAGTCCCCTTTTAGAAAGATACACTTCTCCCAACGACCCTGCCATTTTTTTTACCCCTCCAAAAAATAAGATTTGTCGAACTCTCCAAAATCCCCCCTGTCTCGGCGATGACTTCCTCGTTTGAGCTAAATTTCTTTCTCGCTAGTCATTTCTTCATGGTAGGGAACAAGATGAAGTCACAGGGAGTCAAATCGGGGTGTGCGGCAGCAAATTCATAACGTAATTCATGCATTGTGGCGGCAACAACTCCTGATGAATGGGCCGGTGCGTTATCGTGTTGAAAACGCATCTTTTTTTTCGTCAAATGCGTCCGTGTCTCCTTCAATTTTTTGTCGAAACGGTCCAATAACTCACTGTAGTATTGTCCAGTGATCGATCTTTTCCTAAAAAATCCTTAAAATGATTTCCTCGGTAACAACGTTTGCCAGGCTTCCTGGTCGCTCCTATCAAAAATGGATCTTTGCCCATGTTTAAAGTCGTTGAAGCAATATTTAGCTGTGGTCATAGATGGCGAAATGTCTCCATAAACAGTATCCAACTTTGTTTTCATCTCCTCGCATTTTTTCCCATCCAAAAACAAAAAGCGAGTTACCGAACGATACTGCTCTTTTTCCATCTTAGCGAAAATAACGAAACACGTCTGAGTGGAATGGCTGCCAAATCCAAACTAACCTATCAATCAGTCTGAAATTCGTTTTAACGTAGTTTGATAGATGGCAGCACACGATGACAACACCAATTTCTCTCAGGAACGTCCTCCGTCTTCAAACACGGGTACTTATTAAACCGCCCTCGTATATATTTAAATAAAAGAACGGATAGACAAGCATACGAGGGTTCCGTTTTTCCTTCGGACATAAAGAACCCTAACTCAAGAACCAACTTAACATTCATCATCATAAGGGTACAGTTTGCAAGACATTCTTTTTTAATTTCTTATTGGCTCTACAAAAAATAAATCCCTTGTTTAAAATTTATTTATTATTATATTATTTACGTTATACGACCGTGTTTGGGTCACAGAAATTCATGTGTACTAAATATCAACTTAATCGGTCCTAGAGATTCAGAGCAAATTGACTGTAACAGACGGACAGACAGTCACACGAGTAATTTTATAAGGGTTCCGTTTTTCATTCGGCCGTACAGAACCCTAAAAACCAACACAAGGCAGGGGTTGACATGTTGAATAAACTGTCTGAAAAAACATGGCGGTAGAAAAAGACTATTTTACGTCTTACGGCGATTAATGCTCGATTATCTAGATTACAACGAAATCCAAACGAAATGATTTGGACATTTGTGAAAAATTCAGAGTCGTCTGGCAACACCAACATTTATGGGATTCCCCAGCCAAAAATATCTATTTATATTTCCGAAAACACAGGTCTAAAAGAATATTTCATTTAGATACAGGAAGAAAATTAATGAAAAGAAGGACATAGTCAACGTGGAATGAAGTGCATGTATAACGCCAAGAGAAAAAAGTATTTGCGAATCTACCAATTCTGTATGAATCGAATGACATTACACAACCCGAATTGTATGATATAAGATATATTAGGACTCCTAAAACGTATGTTTAACTTTGGGTAAACAAGGTAACAATTTTAATTCGTAAAACACAGTTAATTTTGTTTAAACTTTAATCTTAACCGCTCAGCTTTAGATATGGGTACATATTATTCAAAACAGTCATTAAAACAGATTATGTCGCAAGTAATGTCTTATTAAACTAACAACTCTCTCTGTGATAGCCGGCAAATTATTTATTTATTATTATTGTGCCAGACCATCGATTTAATCGACGTGATTTTCATCAAGAGAGCGCCAATTCCAATCGGTGCCAAAAACATTGTTGTATATTACGTATTAAATGAATTCATGAATGACAAACTTACATTTACACATATACAAGTGCATACAGATTTCTAGTTATGGATAAACGTGGATTATACATAATATGCACCTACTTACAACAAGTGTTACGAGCGAGTGTTACGGAATTGCATAAAAGTCCAATCAGAACCGTGTGGTAGGTAATAGTGCAATAAACAATCATTATTGTTGATAAAATAAGAAATTATTGAGGTAAAGACACGTAAGTACAAACTTTAATTAATATTACATAAATGTACAATGAAGACAATTTTCGATAGGTCAATAAAAATAAAATTTTATGCTTGACAAAGACTTGGTTTCCGATAGAAAATGGAAAAAAGGTCAGTCGAAGTGTTATAAAGTGTTATTTTTGGTTTCTATGCTATCACAGTTGAAAGGTGAAGGGTTAAAACTGATTATACATATAATAATTGGACTGTATAGGTACTAACAACTTTTCTTTCATAAGTGTACGATGAAGGAGATCAAAGCTTTCGAAGTAGGGTATGATGAATATTGATTGTATTCTATTGCATTCTTAATCGTAATTAAAAATCAACTAATTAATAATAATAAGTGAAGACCTAAAAATAAAAAAAATATTTTATAAATTTACAGGGAAAATACATTAATTAAGTCTGTAATTTATTGTAGTAAAATGGCATTGAAAAGACAATTTCAATTATTAGTATGGAACATGTAGCCAAATGGAGAACGACGACGACTTGCTGCTACTACAAAACTTTATTTATGGCAAATTTCACACTTGGGACGAGGTGGGTGAGGTTTAACGAGTTTATTACACACGAAAGTCATTACTTTGAAAATATACTAATAATGACACTCTTATTTGCATTCTTTAATTACATATTTAACTTCGAAATTATTTAGCCGAGTGTCTAATTTGAAAAGTTTTCGTGCAAATAAGGAAAACAATAGTCTGTCGTCGCGACGCTTGGCGCCAATTTGTTGACGGACACCACTTCTACATGGTAATATAGATAACATTTTCGAGGTCATGACAATTTTCATTCTTCTCTTTTTATCCATTAATTTGGCGTACCATTTACGTACTTATGATTTCTGCCGGATGAAAATTGTACTAGGCATTTGTATAATCTATAGGTGAATAAAAGGTTTGTTTGTTGTATTCAAATCAAAAAAAAAAAAAGAAAGAAAACGAAACACTTATTTTTAATATATGAGTAAGATGCATAAGAATATCAATAGCTAAACGGTAAGATCGCTCGCCGGCGACCGGAACGTCCCGTGTTCTATTCTAGGTTGATGCAATACTTTCTGCTGCGATCGGGGCATGACTCAGACAAAATAAAATGGCAGCGGTATTTGACAAAATAGTATTGTACGAAAATAAATAAAAGCAAAACAAAAATTCTTATACGTAAGGAAGAAAAAGGTAGGGAAAAAGATAATATAAAAGATAGAAGACCAAAATTAGGAAAAGAGGGCTGATTTTCAGTATCTAGGTAGTTAGATAACTCATGTTGGAAGAACAGTAGAGATATCGACCTGATAATAGCGCAGGGTTGAGTCACCTCCAAATCGCGATCGGTTAATTTCGAAATTCGAAAAAGATTGTTAAAGGTGCCTCACAAGCTGCGCTGTACGGGCACGGCGGAAAAGAAATGGTTAGAAACCATCGAATGCGATGTTACAGTGAATGATGAGGATACCGCGGATAGAGAAGGTTAGAAAGGAACAAGTATTAGCAAAAATAGGTGAATTAAGGTCGACATAGAGTCAATAAGAGATATAGGAGATATGTTGTGTCTTAGGCATGAGGTTAGAGATATATGAGAAGCAGAAACAGGAGTTAAGAGGTAGACCTACATTACATTACTGTTGACAATTAGTTAAGGATATGGGTTGTTCTGTTTTAAGGGAAATGCGAAGATTAGCTCAGGATAGAAAAAAATGAGGGTGCCTGTTCAACCAGTCTTAAGACTGACGATTTATGATGATGAATGTAGAAATAAGGGTGTACCGCATCAAAGTAAAAACAGAATATCTTCTATATTTCGTTAGTTTCACTAGTGTAATCTCGCAGTCTCGGATAAAACGTTTAATTTCGAAAATATGTTTTAGATATGCGTGTTCTTAAAAAGCTTGGCTAAGGAATATCCACAATGGGTAAATATAGAAGCGATAGGAACAACATTTGAACAGCGGTCAATTTTCATGGTAACAATTTCAAGTAGTTTTGATAATGCCGATAAACCATCAATTTTCATTGAAGCCGGCATGCATGCCAGGGAATGGCTTGCTCCAGCCGTTGTGATGTATTCCATCGGCCAATTGGTTACCAATTCTCTGTATTGGAAACTTATAGAAGAAACAAGGTGGTATTTTGTTCCTGTCGCAAATCCAGACGGCTATGCTTATTCCCATACTACGGTAAAGTTTATGGTTTTCAAATTTGTAATACAGATAGACAAGGTTAGAAAAAGTAAGAGAACAGAGGTCGGTATGGAAATCAATAAGAAATAGGCCAGATAGGTTTGTAGGGCACCTTCTTAGATATGAAGGGCTAATTAGAGATAGATAAAAGCAGGAACAGGAGTAAGAGAGGTAAATGTAGACGTAGATAAGATTACAGTTCACAAATAGTTGAGCATAATCATGATTAATTGAATTACATCTTAGTATTCCGGAAGGAGTAGTAGGGATATAAAGCAGAGGATAGCGCAGGGTCGAGTCGCCTTCAATAAAAAGAAGTCACTTCTATGCTTGCGAAAGGTTAATTTAGAAATTCGAAAAAGATTGTTAAAGGTGTATGTTTGGAACGTGACGCTGTACGGGTGCGAAACATAAACGATGGGCATTGAGGAAAAAAAGGTTAAAAGCGTTCGAAATGTGGTGTTATCGGCGATTGATGGGGATACCGTGGATAGAGAAGGTTAGAAATGAAGAGATACTGGAAGGAATAGGGAAACAGAGGACTGTATGGAAGTCAATAAAAAATAGGCGAGATAAGTTTGTAGGACACCTTCTCAGGCATGAAGGTCTAGTCAGAGACATATTAGAGGCAGAAACAGGAGTTAAGAGGAGTAAAGTAGACTTACATTTGATTATTGTTTGCAAATAGTTAAGGATATGGGATGTTCTAGTTTTAAGGAAATGCGAAGATTAGCTCAGGATAAAGAGGAGTGGGGGTGCGTGTCCAATCAGTCTTACGACTGACGACCTTATGATGATGATTCCGAAATATTTTTAAAAATTTTCATGGTAGGCACAATTAAAAAACAAAGTCTAGTAATATTAAAATCCTTTTTTATTTGAAATATTTTGAAACAGCCTCATTTCAGGATCGTCTATGGAGAAAAACTCGTTCACCAACCCTATTTCCATATTGTTTCGGAATAGACTGCAATCGAAATTTCGATAGTCATTGGTCAGAAGCCGGTTCTAGTAAAAACCCTTGTTCCGCCGTCTACCACGGTCCCGAACCTTTTTCAGAGCCGGAAACATCCGCAATTAAGGAAATTGTAACACGTAATGCTTCCCACATAAAACTTTTTTTATCGGTACATAGTTATGGGCAAGCAATAGTTTATCCCTGGAGCCACGATACCAACAATTCGGATGACCTGGAAGATTTAGAGAAAATTGTTAAAGAGGTTGTCAAATCAATGGAATCGATCAATGGAAATTTGTATCGATATGGAAACGCGTATAAACTGACCAACTGTCTAGCGGGCGGTACGAGTTTCGACTGGGCTAAAGAGAAAGCTGGAATTAAATATTCTTATACCATTGAACTACCTCCCGACAATACTAGAAGTTTGGGGTTTCTTGCAGAAAGAAACGAAATACTGCCTGCAGCTAAAGAATTCTTTGATGGTCTTCAAACCTTTCAAAAGTGTATTCATAAGGAATTTTTACAAAACGGAAATTGATTGAAAGATAAGAAGGTTTCCATATGTGAATACAAACTGGGAATTTTGGGAATGAAAGGGGTTGTTATACGTATAGCTTTTATTTTTTTAGTTTTGTTGCCTGTTTGTTTGTAATAATTTGAGTTGTTCAAATAAATACAAAAAATGACACCAGATGCATGTTTGAACCCCTGCGTCCAATAAATATAAGGCGTATAAGTACAAAGGTCAGAATCCCAGAAGAAGTAACATAGTAACTATGAGATTTCGGGCTTTATGAACATTGCTTTTGGAAATTTCTTCCCGATGTTTCGTCTGCAACTGCGGCAGGCATTATCAGGACGATCAATAGTACAAACCTACGATTTAGATTTCTTTTTATTTAGGTACTCATGACCATGGTTGTCCATATAGTTACGTAGGTTACTTTATCAAATCGCACAAAAGAATAGGAGAACAGTGGACTCCATGGAAGTCAACAAAAATAGGCGAGATAGGTTGGTAGGACACCTTTTTAGACATAAAGGTCTAGTCAGAGACATATTAGAAGCAGAAATAGAAATTAAGAAGAGTAGAGGTAGATTTAGATTACTGTTCACGAATAATTAATGATTTGGGATGTTCTACTTTTGGGGAAATGCGAAGACTGGCTCGGGTCAGAAAAGAGCGTAGGTACGTGTCCAACCAGTCTTAGGACTGACGGCCTTATGATGATGATGATTATCAAAGGGTCGTCAGTCCTAAGACTGGTTGGACACGCACCTCCATTCCTTCCTATCCAGAGCTAATCCTCATATATTCCTAAAACTGGAACATCCCACATCCTTAACTATTTGCGAACAGTAATCTAATCTAGGTCTACCACTACTCCTCTTAACTCCTGTTCCTGCTTCTAAAATGTCTCTGACTAGACCTTCATGTCTGAGACTTCCATAGAGTCGTATATTCTCCTATTCCTTTTAATACCTCTTCATTTCTAACCTTTTGCATCCACGGTATCCTCATCATTCGCCGGTAATACCACATTTCGAACGCTTCTAACCTTTTCTTTTCCACCGCGCCCACCGTCTATGTTGCTCTTTATACAAACTAAGTATCACTCTTCTATCTCTGTAACTCATCCCTACATTTTTAAGTATATTTGACATCTTGTCCCATTTAACATTGTCAAAAGCTTTTTCTAAATCTATGTACGCGCTCCTTCCTTTTTCTATCATCGTTACTCGTAAAGCTGGAATGACCTCCCGCGTTCCTCTGTTTCTTCTAAACCCAAATTGATCTTCCCCTACTTCCGCTTCCTTCCTCCCTTTTTTCCATCCTTCTGTGTACAATTCCAGTTATGATTTTTGACGCATAGGAAGTTAAGATAATTATTTTAAATGTCTCGCACCTATCCGCGCCCTTGGATATGGTTACTATCACGTTCCGTCTATAATCCTCCGGGACTTTCCCCATCTTGTAAATGTGACTAACTAGCTTAAACATACGATCTCTAACCTCTTGTCCTGCAAATTTCCGCCAGTACCCCATTTATACCTAGTGTTTTATAATCTATAATAATGATGACAAAATGATGGGTTAACGCGTGACTTGCCTTATTATTATTAAATTGTTGGTTATAAAAAAATTTGTTTATGTTTTTGTTCTTAGGTACCTGTAAATTTTTCTAATTATTATTGGTGCAGGACTTTAAAATAAAAAAAAGAGAAAGATAAACAACAATACAATATGAACCTTTATTTATTTATTTATATCTATACTTAAAAGTATATGTATATTGTACAATAAATAATAAAAGTGGCAAAAATGTCCTAAAAACGAATCACTAGTGCATAATTTTTACAACAAGGCAAGCGCCTTATCTTACAAAATGTACAGTATTCCGCCATGAAAACAATAAATAAAATCTTTAATATTATTAGTATGATGCACGATTAACGAGTAAAACTCTCTAAAAATAAACTTTCTTCGGATCACCATTTTTACAACACACCATCGGACTTAAACAATAATAAAAATAATAATAATAATCATATAAAAACGTAAATAATAAAAATAGGAGCGGTTTACGTATTATTTAAAAACTTTCAACAATTCTTCACTAAACGATATATTACTCTCACGATTTCGCTTCTTTATTTTTAGTTGTTTCTGAAAAAAACAGAAACGTGAAATATTAGTTAGAAAATAATTAATCGCCTTTTTAAAAAGTCTGGATATTTTATTTTCAAAAAACTTTTGTTAAAAAAATTAGTCAAAAATAATTACCTTGTATCGGTTCGCCGAATGATACTTTCGGTTCCGGAAGGAGGGAACTTAAGGGGAGCCAAAGGGAATGATCTCTTGGCGATGCTTGCGGTTTCTGCGGTTTACCCAGTCTTATATTAGTCAAATAACAATATTTAGGGTCGTCTCTCTGACTGTTGGTATAATCACTGTCAAGTCTTGATTGAGATCCACTACTACTCGATCCTTGATAAGATCTAGAAAGACTACTTGTTTTGATAATGACTAACTGAAGATAAATTTTTAGGTTTAGGCTTGCACAACAACCCCCAAAGCGAAGAAAATATAGTAAAATCATTTGCTAGTACGAAATTGATGTTGGTAAATAATATCATCATAACAATTTTGATCAAATCCCCACACAGATATACAATATTTTCTACCTCGATGATGATTGCAAAAAGTTCAGTATAAGTAAATTAATGGATTATTCTTACCTTGGTTCTCGATAGTATGGTTGGCTACTGCTACCACCGCTGGTACCGTTGAATTTTTGGTGTTTTTGCTGATCCGAGTAATAATGAGTATGATGCCTACCACTATTTCCGTTATAACTGAAAGATTTTCTATTCGCTCTATTTTTGTCCATATCTATCTGAGTGAGAAAATAGCTATTTTTGTTGGATGGATGTGACCGATGCGCAAAATTGTCGTCTCGTTGCGGATAACTATTTCGCGTAGAATCTGACGCTGACGAATGGCTTTTAGAAACATTAGAATCTCGCCTGGTCTTATCTTCAATTCCACAGTTACGCGTCGGGTCCAAAAGAGGATGTCCTTTGTAAATCCTATTATTTTTATCATCCACCTTATGCTTGGGAAAATTCGGATCTCCAGACCTAACCTTATCGTATGATCCCGAGTTGCGAACTGGATCGGTTGGATGGCTTTTGGAAACACTCAGTTCTCGCCTGATTCGTTCGTCTAAACCTAAATTATGCAAGCTATTTCCTGAAGGATAGTTTTTGGGAGTGGCTGACGATTCTCTTTTCAGCCTTTCATCCAATGATGACGTATGAGACGTATTTGGTATACGGTAAGTTCTTGTACTTCCAGAATCTCGTCTTTTCGGAACTGATGTTGCATCACTGTAATAACCTTTGGGAAGGCTTGGCTCCCGCTTAATCCTTTCGTCAATTCCCAAGTTGCAAGCGGTAGTACTTGATGTCGAATGGCCTTTTAAACCACGTCTAATTTTCTCTTCCGATAACGGATTATGTAAATGATAACTTCGCGATCCGCTAAAATCTCGCCTGTTAGTAGTGTTTTTTTCATCTGAAGAGGTGTGCGTTTTAAGGAGACTACTGTCCTTTCTATTTTTTGTATCCAGTCCTGAAGGATTAACTGATGGTGAATTATGTCTAGAACTACCACTAGAATCCCGTCTACTTCTTTCGTCTATCGTATCTCCTCTTGAGGTAGCATACGTTTTGGGGATACTAGAGTCCCCCTTATTACTTGCACGTTCGAACGTGTGATGAGGTTTATTATCGGTTTTGATTACCTTCTCTTGTGAACTATTCGGTGTATGTCTGCCTTTATTATTAGTGCTACTGTTGTTACATGAGCTTTTAGGAGAGTTGGATGATTCTATTTTGGTTTTTACAAATGGATTTACATCACCCTCTTGTAACAGCCTATTAAAGGTGGTGTCCATGTCCTGAGGATGTTGAATATTCAACTTAGGTTTTTTATTTGGAACAGCGTCTGTATCGTATAGTCGTTTCAACGTCAACTTTAAATTTTCAGTGTTAGGTTGATTCAAGCGATAGACTGGAGAACTGTCTTTGTTGCTGTTCCCACGTAACGTTGAATTTTTACCACTCGCGTCAGTATGAATTTCAGTTTGTGGTTTTTTATCATTGACGATTTTCTTTGCCTTTTTCGCATTGTACAATTCATTCGACGAGTCTTCTTGTAACGGTAGTGTTCTTTTTCCACGACTTTTGTTTTGACCGATCGAGTCTGCTGTTGCGACACTTGGTTTTGGTACTTTTGGATTTTTTGACCTACTCCTGCTCCTTGAGCTTGCAGTTCTAGTGTTTTCTTCGTAACTGGTAACTGATTGTAGTTTTGATGTTCTTTTCACTAACTTGACTACACTGAATTTGTCTGTCATGTCAAACTCTTGGGAGATCATGTCAGTTGTGGGTTGTTTTTCCAAAGACTCGCTTTGTTTCTTGAGAGTAGTAGCGTTTTGGAGTTTATCTAAACATGTTTTAACTCTCTCCACATTTTCAAAGGGGTTGCTGTTGTTAAGTAAGGAAGATGCACCATTACTTGTATTTGCTTTTTCTGTGCTTTCTTTTGCTTGGACAGTAACAGTGTCTTGTTTCTGGATTTCAGGACTTATCACTCTACTGGATTTATAGCTTTCACTTTGTAAATATTCTATATTGTCATTAGATGTGCTGGGGCTACTACCATCTAATACCGACGAGGATGGAGTTTCCACAGTGCCATTTATCACATCTTTATTTTTCACAACCGTTCCTGACGACATCAAGTTGTTGTTGGTCTTTTTTCCAGGGGCTTTCACCTTAGAATATGTAACTCTACGAATCCCTGTCTTACTTAATTCATTATGTGCTATAGGGCTCTTGTCTGGCTTGTTTTCGTTTTCTTTCTTGAATTCGGAAAAATGTCTTTCGGTAGTAGTTGTTCCGTTGCAGGCCGACAAAGTTCGAGTGGCATTTTGCCAACTGACCGTAGGATATTGTTTTACATGTTCGACGATAACTTTTTTGTTGGGGTAACTATTAAACATGATCTCCATATTATTAACAGGCAGTTGTTCCACGTTTGAAGCGTCGGTATCGTTTACAGTGGCGGTTTCTGTTGTTGGAGTGGTGGAAGAAACAGGAGATGTCGGTAGTAAATTGGTTTTGTTCAATGACGTGGTATCTGGTAATTTTATGGTATCGTTTCTAGACTCGATCATCGGTAAAAACGGAGGTACGTCCACGCTACTTACGAAATTATAATTTTCTATGTCGGTAAGGGCTAAATCTACAAACGGAAATATGTTTTTTTGCAAATCGATTGAGCCGTTTTCACTTTCGTCTGGGTTAGGAGGTGCTGGTATAATGTTAGTGGACGATTCTTCTCCTTGAGGGGATGCAGATGTGACACCATTGTTGCTGTTCAAATTTTCGAGGTAGATAGTGACGTCATCGGGACTTTGATTGCCGTCCATTAATTTTTTCATAAATTCCAAACTCATGGGAGTTTCGATGTATTCGCTGTACTCGTTTTCATTGAACACTTCCATTAACAATGGCGTATCAGGAGTCGACTCTTCTACTTGTTCCTGCTTAAGATTTTCAACACCGTATTGGTTTATTTGATTGACCGGAGACTGTTCTGGTAACGTGTTATCGATGTATGTGTATTCTAATTCGCTGGTGTTAGTCTGGTTTGGTATGACTGAATCGATACAAACTTCTTCCGGAAATGGAAATATAGTATCGGCGACGACAGGAGAATTATCGAGTTGTCGATTTGCTTCACGAGCCTCGACTCGTTCCTTACTTGGACTACACGAGGGCACGTTGTTGCTTTTACTTTTACCACAAAGTAGGGGATCCCCTTAAAAAAAATTGAGCCCATTGTACATAGACATATTAATACTTACTAAAAGTTTTACATATCTAATTTATGAAATATGGAGTTTTTACTATACACAAAATAGTTTGTTGTTATATGAAAGACAATCAAAAAACTTACCTGCACTATAATTATGATCCAACGTTTCTGATGAAGTTTGAATCGTTAAATAAACTTCTACGTGTTGACTAACACATGATTCGTCTTGAGTGGTATCAAAAAGACCTGCTGTGCTAGTTGAAGGCTGTGTTTCCAAATTATCGACGGAGGAACATAAGGTCGTCTGACATGTCACTGCTTGGGTGACAACGTGTGGAGTAAGAGCGGTGGTTATTTCATTAATAAAATTCATGGATATTTCATCACCACAAAGAGTAGGCATTGCAGAGCATTCAGGAACAGGAGTCTCATCGTAGCCTCCCATAAAACCATCAGGAACAGAAGGGTTTAATTTATTTACGGCCTGAGTTAGATTGTTGTTGTTGAATTTTAAGAAATCACAAATTGCCGACGACATTTCTCCTTCTGAAGTATCTTTTAGCGGTTGAGGAAGAGCATCTTCATTCGAGTTTTTGGTTATGCTTTTGTCAGTAGTTTCAGAAGTTGCAACAACAACGTCAGATGGTTCCAGTATTTGTTCTTGAAGTTTATTTTTTTCTGCAATACTTTCATTAGTTTTATTTGTTGTACTATTTTCTTCGTTAAAACGGCCAGAGGAATGCAGCCATTCCTTGAAGGATGAGCCATTCTTTCTTTCTTGATAATGAGAATGATCTGAAGGATTTTGATATTCGTTGAACGCTGATGGCTCATTACTTTTTTCACAAGTATTCTGGTATTCCCTTAATGGTGATGACTTATTCTTATTTTCTTCAAAAGACGGTGAATCTTTGTTGCTTTCTTCAAACACAGAATGATTTGGAGAACCTCGATATTCTTCGAAAGGTGACGACTCATTCTTACTTTCATCCAATTGAGAAAGATCTGAGGGATTTTGATATTCGTTAAACGCTGATGGCTTATCATTACTTTCTTCACAAGTATTCTGGTATTCCCTTAATGGTGATGACTTATTCTTACTTTCTTCAAAAGACGATGATTCCTTATTCCTTTCTTCAAACTTAGAATGATCTGTAAAACCTATATACTCTTCGAAGGGCGATGACTCATTCTTACTTTCTTCCAATTGAGAATGATTAGAAGAATTTTGATATTCGTTGAATGCTGATGGCTTATCATTATTTTTTTCACAAATATCCTGGTATTCCCCTATTGATGATGACTCATTCTTATTTTCTTTATAAGACGATGATTCTTTATTGCTTTCTTCAAACACAGAATGATCTGGAGGACCTCGATATTCTTCGAAGGGCGACAACTCATTCTTATTTTCTTCCAATTGAGTAGGATCTGAAGGATTTTGATACTCGTTGAACACTGATGGCTTATCATTACTTTTTTCACAAGTATGCTGGTATTCCTCTAATGGTGATAACTCATTCTTATTTTCTTCAAAAGAGGGTTGTTCTTTATTGCTTTCTTCAAACATAGAATGATCTGGAGGACCTCGATATTCTTCGAAGGGCGACGACTCATTCTTACTTTCTTCCAATTGAGAATGATATGAAGGATTTTGACAATCATTGAACGCTGATGGCTCAACATTACTTCTTTCACAAGTATTCTGGTATTCCCCTAATGCTGATGACTCATTTTTATTTTCTTCAAAAGACAATGATTCTTTATTCCTTTCTTCAAACTTAGAATGATCTGTAGGAACTCTATACTCTTCGAAGAGCAACGACCCATTCTTATTTTCTTCCAATTGAGAAGGATCTGAAGGATTTTGATACTCGTTGAAGGCTGATGGCTTATCATGACTTTTTTCACAAGTATCTTGATATTCCTCTAATGGTGATGACTCAATCTTATTTTCAGCAAAAGACAATGATTCTTTATTCCCATCTTCAAACTTAGCATGTTCTGTAGGACTATACTCTTCGAAGGGCGATAATTCATTCTTACTTTCTTCCAATTGTGAAATATCTGAAGGATTTTGACACTCGTTGAACGCTGATGGCTCATCATTACTTGTTTCACAATTATCCTGGTATTCTCCTAACGGTGATGACTCATTCTTAGTTTCTTCGAAAGACGATGATTCTTTATTGCATTCTTCAAACTTAGAATGATCTGGAGGACCTCGATTGTCTTCGAAGGGCGACGACTCATTCTTACTTTCTCCCGATTGAGAATGATCTGAAGGATTTTGATATTCGTTGAACGCTGATGGCTCATCATTACTTGTTTCACAAGTATCCTGGTATTCTCCTAATGGTGATGACTCATTCTTAGTTTCTTCGAAAGACGATGATTCTTTATTGGATTCTTCAAACTTAGAATGATCTGGAGGACCTCGATTGTCTTCGAAGGGCGACGACTCATTCTTACTTTCTCCCGATTGAGAATGATCTGAAGAATTTTGATATTCGTTGAACGCTAATCGCTCATCATTACTTCGTTCACAAGTATCCTGGTATTCACCTATTGGTGATGACTCATTTTTACTTTCTTCAAAAGACGATGATTCTTTATTGCTTTCTTTAAACATAGAATAATCTGGAGGACCTCGATATTCTTCGAAGGGCGACGACTCATTCTTACTTTCTCCCGATTGAGAATGATCTGAAGGATTTTGATATTCGTTGAACGCTAATGGCTCATCATTACTTCTTTCACAAGTATCCTGGTATTCCCCTAATGGTGATGACTCATTTTTACTTTCTTCGTATTGAGAATAATCTGAAGAATCCTGACATTTTCCAAAAGGTGATGGTATATTATTTCCTTCTTTAAACATAGAACCATCTGCAGCATTTTGATGGTTATTAAATGTCTGTGATTCATTCTTCTTTTCCTCATGTTTAAAAATATCTGAATGATCTTGATGTTCATTGAATGTCGATGACTTCCTGGACCCTTCTTCTTGTAGACAGAAAAGTTCTTGTGGAAGAATTGTAGAATTCTCATGACTGTTATCTTCATATTCAAGATGATTAATCTCCTTGTAATTGGATTCTTTTTCATTATTCTCAACATCTTCAACAAAATCTACATCCATGCTTGTACTTTCTTCTTCTTCTTTGTCGTTTTCAAATACAATAGCCTCTTTATCTTGGGTAATATTAGCGTTTTCTTCACTAATTCGTTGAACTCCTTCTGAGTTATCCTTATTTGTAATATCGTCGTTTTTGCAACTAGTAATGTCCTGTACTATGTCCGAATTTTCTTCAGTAGATTTGTTACCAAGCGTTTCTGTTTCTTCCATAAATTCCTTGGTTTTGGCTGAATGAATTTTTAAATTTTCCGCACTATTTTTGTTAGCCACGTGTTCATTTGTAATGTCACTAATTTTTTCCTTTTTTCGGATAGTAGTTTGAACGATTCGTTCCTGGTTTTTCCTCTTTTCGTCGAACAGAAGCTTTTTTGTTCTTTTGTACTTCCCATTAATTCTTTTTTTAACTAATATAGTACCGAAGGAACTCATGCTATGTAATCTTAGCCTCTTTTTAGCTTTAAATATTTTTGTTGCTTGTTTTAGAAGAGATTTAGGTTTGTTTGTGTGCTTACGTTTTTGATTTCTTTCTATGTCTTGCTTGAATTCTTCTTTGACATGGTGACATTCTAAATTTTCTTCATTCACCTTATGACTATCAACTTCTTTCTCATTATTGGATAAATGATTATTTATCTGTTTTGGGTCACAAGTATTATCACATTCTTTCGATTTTGAGCTTTCTGTAACATCACTGTATTCGTTTAATTTTTTCTTTGTCACACATCCTTCAGTTTCCTCTACAGCACCTTCATCTTTGGTCAAAGTTTCATGTAACTGGTTTTCATTAAATTTCTTGTTATTATCGAATTTATTTTCCGCATTTTCATTATCGTTCGAAATAGGGAAAGCTTGGTCTTTAATGATGTCATCAGTATAGATTATTAATTTATTTTTTTTATTATTCTGTCTTTTACTTGCACTTTCTTTAATTCTTATACTGCCCTCTTTCTCTTTTATCAAAGCGTTGTAAAATATGTCGTTGGTTATATTTGTTTTCTTCTCTACGTTTTCACCTACCTGATTATTATTACTATTTCGAGATTTAGTTTCAACGATCGGCATATCAAACACATCATTGCTTTTACTCCTCGTTCTTAAACTCATTTTAAACGTGTTACCATTTTCAGTAAAAACAGCTGCTTTGTTAAGGTCTTTAAATTCACTGGAGAAACTTCTCGCTCGAATATTCGATTTCCTTTTTTCGCTGTTGTACCTTAGTTTATTGCTAATTGCTTCAAATTTCCCTTTTATAATATTATTTATGTCTGTACCGTTAACAGTAGAGTGTTTTTTATTATTCTCTGCTAACTTTTTTGCTTTCTTCTCTCTCATAGCTTCCATCTCTTTGATGGCATCAATTTTTTCTAAACGGACGTATGGGGAAAGGGAAAATTTATCGTACAGTTTTAGTTCAGCTTTGGTTCGAATAGGTGACAGAGTGTCTTCATCGACAGTGGTTGTAGGAATATCCTCTTCCTTTCTTGACACCATTTTAGACCTTAATTTTGGAGGCCAAACAGGTTCTTTAATCGAATTAATATCGTCGTCAGCTTGACGATTTTCGTTTTCTTGGATAGGGTCTGTAAATTCTCTAGCATGTTCCAAAGCATCTTCTTTCCTCAATGTCAAATCCATTGCTTCTTCAGCTGGAGCTATGACTACATCTGAGTTATTTAGTTCAGCAATTTCTAAAGGTTGCTCTACAATATAATTTTCTTTTGAAGCATCATCCTTTCTTTCGTCGTGTATTAACAGGTTGTTGCAATTTTGCTTGTCGGATTTTAATACTTCAGCCTTTAGAATATTCTCTATAAGGAACGAATTTCCTATTTGAACTTTAATTTCTTCTACTACATTTTGCTCTTTTAAATTTGAGGAAGTTACAATGCAATCTGTTTGAGACTGCTTCTCATTCAGTACATCGTTATTACTTAATGCATCCGTACAAGTATCAAAAGGAGGTAGAGGAAGTTGCGGAAGATCAATACTTCTTCCAAAATGTTGTTCTACATCCAAGCTTTCTTCAACTTTTGTGGGAATTTTCTCAACGTCTTCTTCTTCTATTAAACTTTCGGTAGAGACGTCTGGCACACAACTGATAATTTCATCATTTTTCGGTGTTTCTATTTCATGTGACACCTTTTCCAGATTGTTTTGAAAGTCCTCAACTTGCTTTAATAATTCATCTTCATCATCATCTTCTTTTTCTGTCTCTGGAATACTAATACATATTAGTTGATCAATCGGTTGGACGTATTCAGCGGTGGTTACAAGATCTAATTGTTCTTCCAATGTTTTTTCGTCATATATAGAAAGTCTTCTTCCTTTAAACCCTTCAGGTTGGCTGTCGTTGTCGTATTGGACAATTGATAAACCTCCATTATAACTGTCGTTGCTGTCATCGGTTACAGCGCTCATTTCAGCAACTTGAGCGAATATTTTATTATGTTCTTTAATTGCTGATAAACTTCCAGAATTAGTAAAATCGTCCAATTCACACTTGGAACTGTCGACTTTAAACTTATTGTTTTTCTCGATAAGTAACTTACTTTTTTCATTAATAAAATTTGACGTAAAGGTTTCGGTAGGACATTCATAAACTTTATTTTCGGGTTTGTCTTCAGTTCTCTTCCCTACATTATTTTGCGCTGATTCATTTGTAGATGATAAAATGTTTTTAAATGTAAATTCCAGCTTTTCATTCTCTTGTTCCTGGAAATTTCCTTCAGAGACGTCGAATGAATTATTTGCCAATTCTTCTGAAATATCCGGTGTTACTTGTTCTGCAAAACAACTGCTCTTTCTTCTTCTACCTGATTTTGATTTATGCGGGGATGTAACTTCGATTTTATTTTCATTCAATTTTGAAGACTCGTTTTTTGAGTTATTTTGGGAATTTTTTTTTCTCATTTTTGACCACGTTGTTGAATTATTCGGAGTATATTCAAGTTTAACAGGTTTTAAACGTTTCCTTTTATGTTTAGTCTCGGCAATCATTGTAGAATTATCATCAAAAATATCTTCGTCGCAAAAGAAGTAATTTTCGTCCTTCTCTTCGTAATTCTTTTTTGTGCAACTTCTGGTTATCCTCTTGCAATCACTTGATTCTTGAGCTAATTTCTTTTTTCGCCTTCCTGGTCTCACTGGTCGAGTCTTTGAGCTGTTCTTGGTCACCTTTTCAAACATTTCGTTTTTCTTATATTCGTTGATAACTTCTGATTGACCGTATTCCAGGTTTTTCAGTTCCACACATACGTTTGCAAGCACATGCAGACTGCTGTCGGAAGATTCCTTATAAAAATCTTCGGTTGCAGGTTGGAGAGAACTGTTTCTTATATCGTAAATTTTATGGTCCGGAAAAGGTGCAGACGTATCAAGAGGTGTTTTTGTCTTGTATGAAGGGGTACTACAACTGATTACCTTTGAAGAAAATTCAGAATAGAAATTTTTCGGTTCATATTGAATGCTAGCCATTAAAGCACTGGTTTTGGGGTTGAGAAACGCGGGAAATCTATTCTTCTCGAGCTCATTTGTAGATTTTTCAGAAACAGGTATAATCTCTGTAGTTTCATGTTGTGGTTGTTCTTTTTGAAATACATCCGTGACTAAATTTGGATCAGAATCTTTTGCGGCAACATCTTGATGAAGAACATAGAAAACTACATTTGATCCTTGATTTGGCTTTTGGGCCATTTCCCCTTCGTTTGTTGTGACGTAGTCATTATCATTCGTTATGTTTTCGTGATTTTCGGTTGTTGTCCTTTCTGTATCAGTCAGTTCTGGAATTGTCGGATCGTGTTTTCTGTAAACATTGAGCTTGAGGTCTGTTTTTGGAAACCGATCAGTTTCCAAAATGAGTTTCCCATCGTCTTGACAAGTAAGCGTCTCATTTTTTACATGATTTTTTAAAGCAACAATTGTTTCATTATTTGCAGTAATATTATCAACTGTAACTTTTTTTTGAGCCTCTTTTTCCATTTGCGTTAATTCGTTAGTGATTTCCTTATCGAAGTCATCGTTGTCTGCTTTCTGTTCAACAGTTAATTGCCTGCTGGTAAATCCGACTTCTTCGTGTAAGGTTTCATTAATAATCGTATCGTTAGATTTCAAGTGATTATCTGATACTGCTTCTGAGTTCTTAGAATTTGTGGTGGTAACCTCTTCTTCATTGATGGCACCATCGTTATCACTGAGCTGCACAACGTTATCGTCGTATTCTACTGATGTTGCCAATTCGCCACAATTTTCAAGAACTGTTTCGCAATTCTGAATTTCGTTATCAATCAAATCAGATTCAAATTCTGATTCTGAATTCTTAGAATTTGTGGTGATGACCATGACCTCTTCTTCATTGATAGCACCGTCGTTATCACTGGGTTGCGCAACGTTATCGTCGAACTCTACTGATGTCTCTGGCTCGCCAGAATTTTCAAGAATTGTTTCGCAATTTTGAATTTCATTATGTATCAAATTAGATTCACATTCTGGTTCTGAATTCCTAGAATTTGTGGTAACGACCTCTTCTTCATTGATGGCATCGTTATCATTGAGTGGCGCAACATTACCACCATATTCTACTGATGTTGCTAACTCGCCAGAATTTTCAAGAATTGTTTCGCAAACCTGAATTTCGTTATCTATCAAATTAGATTCACATTCTGGTTCTGAATTCTTAGAATTGGTGGTGAAGACTTCTTCTTCATTGATGACACCGTCATTATCTTTGAGCTGTAAATCGTCGGATTCTACTGACGTTGCTAATTCGCCAGAATTTTCAAGAATTGCTTCGTTATTAGTTAAATTATGTTCACATTCTGTTTCTAAATTCTTAAAATGTGTAGTGTTGGTCGTTTCTTCGTTGATTGCACTGTCGTTATCGGTGAGCTGCGCGACGTTATCGTCGAATTCTACTGATTTTTTGTTTTTATATTCTATTTCTGCCTGTAGTTCTTCCATAACTACTGTAGTTTCTATGGAAATGTTTTTTTGAGATCCAGCAGAATTTTCTTCATAATAATCAGCAATATTTTCACTGGCTTGTACACTTTTGTCAAATACACCTTCGACTTTCTCTGAACATTTCGTAATTGTATTTGTATCTTCTTCGAGATGTTGCTGGTTTTCTTCTATTGATTGAAATTCGATCAAATCGGCTTCTCTTTGACGATCATTTTCAAATGCCAGATCGTGTGCGTCATTATTTTTATACATTTTGCTTTTACTTTTCATTTTACTATCATACACCCTTTTCGATAAAGTATTAATTATATCTTCTATATTTTTGGTTCCTATTAATTTACTATTGCCTTTCTTTAGTAATTTTGAATTTTCTTGTGGAGTTTGGAAATCATGGGATTCTTTAAAGCTTTCAATTTCATTTGATGGACACCTCTTTTGAGCTTGATCACTAATTTTTTCTTCAATCCTTATTTCTTTATCGATACATTTATTTGCGTTTTCCATTAAACTATTTTCGCCGTCATTTTCTAATGACTTTGCAATAACGTCTTCATCTCCATACGGATGATTTTCCTTCACATCTACATTAACGTCTACATTTTTAGTAGCTGTTGAACTAGTTTCACAAACTTCTGTAGCATTCACAATAATGTTATCAATTGCCTGGCCATTATATTCTTGACTAGTTGCAATTTTAGCATCGATTTCATTATCTGCATTATATTCTTCATTCTTCCCTAAAATCTTCATTTCTTCTACATTATCATGCACCTTTTTCGATAAAATATTATGACTGTTTCCTATTGATTCACTATTATCGTTCTTTAATAAATTTGAATCTTCTTCTAAGGTTTGGAAGTCTTCTTCTGATTCGTTATGACATTCAATTTCACTTGATGGACGTCTTTTTTGAGCTCGATCACTGATTTTTTCTTCTTCAATCGTTACTTCTTTATCGGTAGTTTGATTTGCGTTTTTCACTAAACTAATTTGACCATCATTCTGCAATGGCTTTCCAATAACGTCTTCATTTTCATACAGATTATTTTCCTTCAGATCTGCAACAACTTCTACATTTTCAGTAGATGTTGAATTTGTTTCATAAACTTCTGTAGAATTTACAATAATTTCTTCAACTGCCTGTCCATTACATTCTTCACTAGTTGCAATGTTAGCATCGATTTCATTATTTACATTACATTCTTCGTTCTTTCCTAAAATCCTAATTTCTTCGCGTTTATGATACATTTCGCTTTGGGAATTTTCTTCTACCTGTTCATCCAACATTCCTTCATTATCAATCACATAATTTTTTTCACTTTCTATATCTTCTTCGCTCTCTTCCTCTCCTTGACGATCTTCAGCATTTCCACATACTACAGTAGGAGTTTGATCTAAATCTTTTGAAGAACATTCAGCCACTTCATTGTCTTCATAGCTTCTTCCACGATTGTTGGTGTTAATTGCAAGTGCAACATTTTTGGAATTATCAACAATTTCCTTGTCTTTAGGATGTTTTTCTAAATTTTCCTTCGAAAAGTTGTGATAAGTACTATGCTCCAAGGTTCCATTTTCAGTATTTTTAGACGCTTCCTTATCATCATCCACCAAAAGAATACTCCCGCCTATTTCTTGCTTTTCATTATTTTGTATTTTGTCTTTAATTTGCTTTCGATTTTGATCAGTTGTATTATTTTCGACAACGGTGACTTCTAATTCGTCGAAAAACCTTGAGGCACTATCCTCTTCATTATTACTTACATTTTCAGTAGTTTTAGTTTCAATTAATCTATTTTCAGTTGAAGATGTAGTAGTAAGCCAATCGTGTTCAAAATCTAATTCAGTATCAATATCGTTTTCAAGGGAAAATTCTCGAAACCCTTTACTGTTTTCTCCATTTTTCTGTATTTTCTCTGGCACTGTGACATCTACGAAGGCTTTAGAATTTTTTGAAGTAGATGCTAATTGTTTGTTACTTTCTACATTATGTACAAATTGGTGTTTTGACTTATCTTGTTGCGAACTTTCTACGTGATCGTCTATTATGAGTATTGTTTGGTCAGCGTCAATGGTTCTAATAGGTTCATCAACATTATGACTTTCTAAAAGACTTTTCAATTCATTTTCTACGTCTTCAATCCGGGATCCACTGGGCTCGCCTGAGATTGTTTTCTCCGATTTTTCATTATTATTCTTTTCGCGAATTAACTGGTCATTTAACGTAACATTTTTTCCCAACGCATTATCGTTTTCGAAAGTTATTACTTTAGTTACTTCTAACGGCTTGTTGGTAACATTTTGATTAATCTCTTCGACTTTTGAACAAACACAATGGTTTCTTTGCCTCTTTATTTTGCCAGTTTTGTAATTTATTTCACTAATGTTTTGGTTTTGACTATTCTTAGAGTTTTCTGCTATTTGTTTTCGAGAATTATTGTGTGGTGAGGGTTTGATTCCATTTAAATTGTTATTCACTGGATTACAAACAGTTCTGTTCGTATCTTTACAAGTTTGAGGCACGGGTTGAAAGTAAATTACCTCGTCAATGCCATCATCGTCGTCGTCGACAATTTCTATAGTTAAAATGGACTTATCTGTAGAATTGGTAGAGGTAGGTTTTTGGAGACTAGCGCACCTATTTTCTCGTCTTTGAGCTTTTTTGTTAGGAAAACCGTTTTTCACTATCCTCTCTCTCACCCCAACATCTTTATGGCCATTTGTTAATTTCGATTTTTCATGCTTTGGTGGCTCAAATCCTAACGGTTTATCCCACTGCACAAACAATCAAAATTAACACGAAATTATAACGCAAAGTAGCAATTTCACTATTAATTTAAATTAATAAATGACTTAATTTTGAAACAAAACATTAAATATTTAAACTTTCACTGGTGTATTCTCGATGAAACATTTTCAATAATAAAGGAAAAGATGTTTCAACATTCCTCGACAATTGTTTCGACCTCTAAAAGGTCATTTTCAAGAGTACAATAATTACTATTATTGAAAATGACCTTTTAGAGGTTGAAACAATTGTCGAGGAATAAACAGTTTCGTTGAAACATCTTTTCCTTTACTAAAACATTAAATTTCGAAACCAAGGGACAAACAAAACTAATTAACGTGTACATGCAGCAAGTGTCGTCCAATAAGAAACTTACACTTCTCCAATTATCGTCATATTCGTCGTCCGAAATACTGAATTGCTCGTGGAGCACGTAGTCATTCGCAATGAGATTTTGACGTATACTTTGAAGAACAGGATTTTGTAGCGAAGTGAAACTTTTATTTTTGACTATCTCTTCCAATTTGGTCAACATGCCGATTTTTTTAAGAAATTTTCTGTAAGTATTTAATCATCAATAAGATAAACCGCCAACATACATACATACATTAGTGAAGAGATTTTCGATATAGAGACACAGATTGTAAAATAAGTAATTGAAAGTTTGGCAAATGCTATATCGAAAATTTCCTCCAAGCTAGTGTACGGACTTAGGTAGCTTATGGACTTACACAATTAAACTATTAATAATATTTTTGTACAACTTGTTCTCATTGCCATGATCAGTCTTTACGTTGGTGAGTATTTTGAGGGCGGCCACCGATGAGGCATCAACGGCAGTTTTCGTCGTCAAAATACCGTGTTTACACGAATCGAACAGAATCAATTCCAAATTGCGCGTGATTCTGTTTTCGACTTCCTCCTCTAAGGATTCGTCGTAATTTGGGGAACAGAAAAGAACTTCGAATTCCAAAACGATATACTGTACCAAAAGGCGAACCAGTTGCTCCGAATACGGAAATCTTCCATTGAACTGAAATCGAAAAAACAACTATTCAAGTTCACTTTCTTAAGGCAGTCGTTTTCTCTTTTCTTGTTATAAGTTATCACCGTTTACTAGTTAAGTAAACGAACCCGCGGTGCGCCTTTATATTTATTTTGTAATGGTTGCTGATTAAGAAGTACCAAGGTACCAAGAAAGTCATATAATGCAGAATGGAAGGAATAGTAGGGATATAAAACAGAGGAAAGAGCTAGGTCGAGTCGGCTTTAACAAAAAGAAGTCACTTCTCTGCTCGCGATAAAGTAATTTATAAACTGGAAAAAGACTGTTAAAGATGTATGTCTAGAGCACGGTCCTACACGGGTGCGAAACGTGGACGAAGGACGCGGCGGAAAAGAAAAGGTTAGAAGTGTTTGGAATATGGTGTTACCGGTGAATGATGAAGATTCTTTGGATATAGAAGGTTAGAAATGAGAAGGTATTTGAAATGGAGCAGAGGGCGATTTGGAAGACAATAAGAAATAGGCGAGATAGGTTGGATAAGACTGAATGAAGGGCTAGTCAGAGACAAATGCAGATGCAGAAGTTACGATGAGTAGAAGTAAATCTAAGTCAGATTACTGTTTATAAATAGTTAAGCATGAGGGATGTTCTAGTTTTAAAGAAATGCAAACATTAGTTCAGGATAGGAAAAAGTGGAGATGCGTGTCCAAACAGTCTCAGGACTGACAACGCTATGATAATAATTATAATGGCCAAAGTAATGTAAACTAATATACAAAATCATATATTCAAAAATGATCTGTTGAAACTATGAAAGAAAATTAAATTTGATTTTGAAATAATATTCATGTGAATGTATGACATTGTTACCTATTTTATTAATAAGTTTAGAGTTCAAAAAAATGTCTATAGTAGGTCTAAATCTAATATGGAGAGATTTAATTTTACATACGGCTTACGGAGTTATGATTTATTACCAAAGTGACCCACAAGATCGTTTGGAGACTTGAAGGTTTAGTTCGATAAGTATTAGAAACAGAAACAGGAGTTAAGGGTGGCAGGACAAGGACTAGATTAGGTTACTGAGAATATACTGTGTCGGATTGGATATAACTAATTTATTTACTTTTATATTATTGCAAAGGAACACTTTTAAATTTGTTACTTTCCTGAACACCCTGTATATATCTATAGTAATAAATCACAGCGCCATCTTCGAAATTCTATTATACTGAGTATACTATCGCGGTTACGTAAAACACTTGTTAGATGGCGCCATGCAATACTAAGGTGACTTATCATCACAGGTACTTTAAATTTTTAGTTACATAGAACTTCTGTTATTAGATAACTACCCAGTTGTACGGACGGCTGGGTGTCTTTAGAAGATTTCCCCTCTTCCACAAAAACAAAAAAAAATAGATAGCAATACTAATAAGCACCCGTCCAATTACGCAATAATTGTAAAGTAACACACATTGAAAAATACCTTTTACTGATAAAAAAGTTTGTTTGTTTATTTGTTAATAATAACAACAGTGGAATATTTTTATTATAAAATTATCACAAATTTTCTATCTTCCAAAGCTATAATATCGTCCAGTTAACCTTGATAAAATTTAAATTGCATATAGAGCAAATTACTTGTTTCTTGTTCTCTTAATGGCAATTAAAAAAAAATAATCATTTTTAGTTTTTAATTTACTTGTAATCATAAGTTAGTTTCTTTTTATTTAAAAAAAAAAGTTTCACGACTAACCTTAATGACGCTCTGGTTATAGAGACGAAGAAAAAAAAGTTTCCTTTTTACATCTTCCAAAAAGTCCGGCATTTTCCTTCTTCGCTTGCTAGTTGATTGAATGTACCTGAATATTAAAGAAAAAATATTCTTTAGCGATTATAAAAACAGCTGAAATTTAATGAGATCATTTTTTTTTTTCATAAAAAGAAATTTGTAATTAAAAGATCCATTCTTGGTCTTCATTCACAANATAGTGTGTACTTTGTTAAATATTCTTTTAAATGAATTAAAAATTAAAAAAAAGAATGATTAATTAAAGTGACCCAAAAAATGTAATAAGTAATATCAAAAATTTAAAAAAGAATTGAATGTATTTTATCCAGGGTTCTTTTTCAATCTTCTCGATTTTCTTTATCTCTTCTTGCTTCACATAGTCGTCCCAGTTGTAGCTGTTGAATTCAATACCTGCTTCTATAGTACAGTATTTTAGATAAAAAAAATAAGGTTCAAAAGGAGCCTTTGTCACAATAATTCTTCAAGTTTAAATATTATCATAAACATGAATATAACTGCAATTAATAACTTCTTATACTGTAAATGCAATTTCAATGAGCATGGGAATTCAGATTTCATTTTATTCTGTAAACAATTATAAAATAGATGTTTAATAAGTTTTTTCCTTTATTTCAGATTTAAAAGAGAATGAGTTCTATTTGACTTACCATGTAATGCACTGTGCTATGCAGTTGGAGATTGAAGGATGGTATTCTTCATTCGACACCTTTGCAATATGGCTGTATAGGGCAGCATATTGCCTACAGACACGACCTATTATAAAAATAAGAGCTTTTAGAACAAGTTTTTATTGTAAGTACTGAACATTATCACAGAATTAGTACAAATGTACGAAGGTGGCCATTTTAGATTAAATATTTTTGGAAACATTGTAAATGACGAATAAGTTATAAGAATTAGTAAATTAGAATTCTGACTCACCTTCAGGGCGTCTTTTAAGTGAATTTGTGAACCATAAGAGTAAGGTCCTGCAGTCTCTCTGAATGGGATTTTCATTGTCGATATTAGACATGGTACCTACAATTACGAAACCAAAATTACACCTTATATCACCCAATATCTTTAATTAAAAGAAAATTTCACTCCTATTAACAGTACTAGTCCATAAACAATTTACTTTGAATATTACAAACCAACCTATCAGTTACAATTTGCGCTCTTAATAACGGTCAATATTTCATGTTTACCTAATTTTTGTTTAATGACACAGACTCACCTATATTAACTACATTTATATAATTTTAATTGTATACGAAAAACGGAATATTAAGAATGATTTCATAAAATTTTAATGCAATATAAGTAAAATCACAAGTTACTCAAACCAATATGTCTAATATTTGTTAACAAAAACCCTTCTAATTAAGGACGTCAGAAAGGCAACTGCTCATAATAAAATCACCATTACCTTAAATATTATAAATGCAATTAAAAACCTTCACATTACATTTAAAAGAGATTAATAATTGTTAATAAAACATATATATTAACTATTAAATGTGTTATGTCAAGAATTTTATTAACAATTTCATTTTCTTTTCATGTTGTATGGAACTTTTTGTTATAGATAAGTTGGCGACATTTGCAGTGACTGACGTAACCAATGAGCTGACGGAAGAATTCAGGAGCATTTACCTTCAGCTGGTACGATCGCAGTTCCCTTATGTGACATGGCGTCTACGAGAGAAGTTTAATGTAAAGCAGCAGCTAAATTTGTTAATGCAGATTTTATGACCATTTATTATAAGTCGGCTTGTTATAGAAGCCACAAACGTTTTCTAGAGACTTGCATTGATGGTAATGCATGCAAGGAAAACGCAACGGGCGAACGATGGGTAGGCATTTTACCTGTATTGACACAGTCGCAATACAAGTATCGTATAATACTTCATAATTTTCTTAAACTGTTGTTTTTATTTTCGACGAACGTTTCTGTTTTTGTATGTTTAACTAATTTTATGTTCTTTTGTACGCAGGTACTTCGAGAAGCACCAGTCCCATCCTTATCAGGTAATGTATTTGCCAGGTTTCAAAAAATTGAACAGTAATTTAGAAATTGCCCTCCATTTTCTTTGAGTTACGATTAAAATTAAAATATAACGATAGATACTTATTTATAACGGTAATAATTGTAGCTTTCACGTTCATTTGCAATATAAAAACTGTTTGTTTTTATTGTTATTTTATTGTTGTGACATTTTTCCAACTTATCATTTAATTAGTTTAAATGGTGTTCTCTGGAAATATTATCATCTTTCAAACAACTGTTCAACAATTTTCATCGAATATAAATAAAATACAGGAATAAAATTAAATTTGTTTTTAGTAAATAAATATGGCTGCCTTCATTAATAAATATACCATCAAGTTGTGCATTTATGAAAGCTTTAATGATTGTTAATTTACATATATCTTTCCAATTTTATGCAGAATTCCAAATATAGTTCATCAAAAAGCTTTGGCTCAAGTGCAGAAAGGTATGAACGGATACGAGATTCACCAAATGGAAACTATCGCTCTGATAGCCCAGATTCACAATCCCCAAGAGACCGAGATAGATCTTATCAATCTAAAGGCTCCTATCTACAGAAAATCCGTGAAAAGGAGAGAGAAAACAGAGACTATAAATTGTCGAGGGATAAGTATTCAGGTACAAAGTTTTTTTTTAAGGAAATGAAGAGAGACTATTTCTTGGTAGAGTATCTTTAATAAATTACACGTTGTTTGATATTAAAATTGGTTATTAAAGAAAGAACTGGATGCAAGAGATACTCATTTTTCTGTTTTAGAAATATGTATGTATATAGGTATTTCTTGTAATTTAACTTATGTTAATACAATCATCAAACAACACATTTAATAAATATCTCTTAACAATTTTAAAATAATATTTATCAAATGAGAGAGTTTTTACTCATAATAACAATTAGTTGTATTAGAAAGTTATTATTTTGTAAGGAATAGTTTCAATTAACGGAGTAATATTCGTAATCATTTTTGGCAAAGCTGTCACAACTTTGTAATCATAAAAATTGCAAAAAATAAAAGTCAGGTGATAATAGTGTAGTAATTTATACCTGCTTAATGAAACTCATCAGAATGTGTTATACATCAAATATTTGGTTGTTTATATATTTAAGATCACCAATATTTTTTATGTAATTGTAGTTCCTTATATCTAATTAGATTTCTTCAGTGTTAATAATAAAATAGATGGTGGAGAAAAGTTACATAAATGATAAGTAACACATTTTGACTAAAAATGCAGAATTTTATTTATTATCTAAAAATTTAAAGAACCAGTTAAATGAGTATAATTATACCTTGTAAAAAATTATACCAAGAGTATAGTGTGTACTTTGTTAAATATTTATCTTGTGCTATATTTATTTAAGGGCAACTTTAGGATTTTTAAGTAATTCTATTTATTTTTTCCAAAACTATTTAAAGATCCTAGTAAATCAAATGATACAAAGTTTAATCTAATTTAATTACGTATTTCTGTACAAAAATGGTTTTTTAATTCTTTTTGTGTTATTACAGATTGTAGGTCACCTAAAGAAAAACGCAGTAGAGAATCTGAACACAGAACAAACCACGACAGGTCTGATGATAAAGGCGTTTCACATTCTAGCATAAAATCTCAAAGTTTATCATCACGAGACCGTAAACCTGTGCATAACAATTGTGTAGACAAGGTACTGTTTCAATTTTTATTATCAAAACTTTTCACTCAACATCAAAATTATTTTATTACTTAAGTACAATTCTTAATACTTATTTAGTATTTATTGCTTCAGAGAAACTTCAGTTTTTTCTTTTTTCAAGTTTTGCATTGTTAGGATGATTTACAAAATTGACAAAAAACGATTTCTCATACCTTTCTTATTTTTCTATTTAATACCCGAAATGTATCCCGTGTTTTCTTTAATTAATAATTTGTAAATTTTTTCAGAGGGATGAAAGAGAAAGGGTGCCACGAGTGGGTGATTGGTCGGAACACATCAGTTCGTCAGGAAAAAAGTATTATTACAATTGTAAGACGGAGGTGTCACAATGGGAAAAACCGCGTGAATGGATCGATCGGGAAAGAGAACGGGAACGGGAACGGGACAGAGAAAGAGATAGAGAAAGGGACCGAGACCGAGATCGAGAGCGATTTAGGGCACGCGAAAGGGATCGGGATTTCGACAGGTCATACGGCAGTTCAAGTCGTTCTGGTACGAGTAAGTGCTTAAGTTTTTGTTTTAGTTTTATCCATTTAGTGGCTTAATACCTTTTTTTTTACTTTAGTAATTACTTTTTCCATGATAATTTTAGTTAAAGAAGATACAAATAATAAATAAAATGCATGATGAAATAGTAGTTTTATAATATCTTGGTATCAACATTAGGTACTTTGTTGTAATTAAATAAAAATAGACTTTTACCCCTTATAACAACAGTACGTTATAGTATCGCCAGTAACACCAGACATGTGTGTAATTGTATTGTGTTGTGGTATTTAGAAACAAACTATTCCGTATTTATTTATCTATACCTCAATATCCTGTTTCTATTATATATTTCGAATTGATATCTTTTTAAAGGGCATGAAAAACATTCCAACTCGCGAGGAAGCAACGGAAACAGCGCCAGCGGTGTATCAGGCAGCGGGGCCGCAACTAGACATTGGGGCACAGGTCGCGACGATAACAACGGTGGAAGCAGTGGTGGTGGTGGTGGTGGGGATAGTACGTCCTCGAGAGACACTCGAACCACCTCCAGGAAGTATTCCGATGACGCAGTACAGTCAACTCAGGACATGGACATTTCCCCAGGTGACAGCACACCCACGTCTGAGATGTCGTATGGACACCATCAGGGTGTCGCTACGGCGAACGCTGCGGAACAACAACAACAACCTGGAGTGCCAGTGGCAACATCGTCTGCGCAACCCCTTGTCGGTCCGGTACTACTTTCGGCCGCGTTGCCGCGTCTTGTATCGCACCCGCCTGTTGTAGTCCACCATCACCACCACTTACCCACAACGCCAACGTCTCGACCGGAGTCGTCGCCCCTTTATAATACGCAGACAACGTCGTCAATGATAATTCCACCTGTGGCAGCCGCCCCACCTCAATCGATTGCGACGTCGAACGCACCCGGTCCTCCCGTAGTTGTGAGTTTACCCAGGATAATGTCGCAGCAAGTGGTATCTGTACCGGCGACTGCGTCGTCCATCGCGGCAGCTATGGTGTCGTCGTCGCCTGCTGATGTTAGTGACGCCAAAGGACTACATAATTCCGCCGCTGCGGCGGTTGCACGACAAATATTGTGCTCCGACGCATCGGCTCAATCTCATGGTCTACAACCGCTTACGATAGATGTGAACCACGGTGCCGGAGCAACGGTTAGTGGACCCATCGGTGAAGGACCCCCTACACCAACGCATTCAGAGACTCTTGACTGCGGTAAAGGTCAGTAAATATGGAAATATGTATTTTTTAAAGGAAAACAACCAAGCGTGTTTTATTATATTTTTATAAGTTCTGAAACACTAGTACACATATTTCAATGGATCAATAATTCATAGTTTTTTTCTGTATACTTACATATAAACTATAAACGTAATGGCATGCATAATCATTATAAAATACACATTATATATTTTATTAAATTTTTCTTTGCTTTTTTTAGCAACGGTAGTAACGACGTCGTTGGCTAGTCCTCCTGGAAGTAGCCTGGCGTCGTTACAAAGTGTGTCCAGCTCGTTACAGGCTCTCAGGCCCCAAGGACCAACCCTCACCCCATCTCTAGCCAATTACTATCGGGACGACCTAGTAAATCATGTTAGAGGCTGGCCTGCGGAGATACTTGAAAAGCAGGTGAGACTACAAACAAAAATACTAGAAAACTAATAAAAATAATTTTTCTTTTTGTATAAAAAGCGATATTTTCCTTGCTCAGTGTCTTTTGCTTATATATGTCTTATAGATGCTGTTACTTAGATATTATTTACAAATCAACATTCTAAAGCAAATTTTTGTTAAGTAATGCAATAAACCTATTAAATATTTAAATCAAGAAAACTATTTTTTTAGACACATTAAAGTATTTTAATAATTTATTATATTTTCGAATTCCAACAAAAAAAAAGAGAAACTGTTGAATTACTGAATCTTAAGTTGTTAAATTTAAAAAATTATATTTTTTTATAGGCGGATAAGCTAGCACAAGAAGCGTTCATTATGAGTAGTATACAATGCGCCAAAGTTTCGGCCGAATTGAAATCGGCAAGGTCGATAGTACGACTAACGGAAATACAAGCGACCCTGCAGGAACAAAGGTATGTGTAGATATTAAGCAATTTTTTGAAAATTGGGTAATAAAAAAAATCAAATAATGAATCGCAGGTACATGTGTAATTCTTTATATTATCAAATTGAAGGTGTCGGTATTCTACGTTTATTAGAAAAGAGTGCGGGACGATTGGTCACTTATGAGTGTGACATGCACGCGCGTCATAGGGATTTATTTTCGTAAAATTTTCGTTGAAATGGTTCGAATTCTTGCAGAGAAACGTTTCGCGAGTATCGTAGCATTATGGTCGAAAGGTATCAAATGGAAGGTGCATTATAAAAGTACTTTCTATAAGGGATGGTTTTGGCCTTGGTTCTGGTTTGATTTAAAAATAATTAGATGAAGTAAGAGGTATAACTTTTGAATGTTAGATAAAAATTCAAGGATACTACTGGCCACAATTGTACGACTGAAAAACAATGAGGCTTCTGAGTTAAACCATTTTTTTTTAAATTGGAATATACTTTTTGTCGATTGTTGAGAAAACGTCTTTCATTGTAGAAATATAATGCTGTACGACAAACTTATGATTAACAAATTGTTAGTTCTGTTCGAAAGGATTAGATCAAATACATATATAAATGATTTTAATCTATTTTGTAAGTAATAAAGCGAAGATAAAGAGGTACAAAATCAGCTGATTTTCGTTGATTTCTACTTTCTTGTTCAAATTCTAGGATATTGTTTCTCCGTCAGCAGATCAAGACGCTTGAGGAGATGAAGTCACAAAATTCGTTCATGTCGGACGACTCGTAGTGAATGAGTTAATAATAAATAAAAAAATTAATAATTTTGTCGAGTGTAAAGCGAGTATAAGTGCGAGAAAAAGAGGAAAAAAGAATTATTGTTAAGTGCAGATGATGATGATGAACTTGTATGCTGTTGTTTGTAAATTTATATACACACGCGTACATAAATACACAACACACAGATACATAGACATACCTACATACATGTACACACACTGATACACGAAGCAGCCGGTGTATTTTACCAGATGAAAGATGATAATGACTATGATGAAAATGATGTTAATTTATTTGCAATTAATTAATCTCGGGAAAGGTCGCGCGCGAGCAGCGGCTAGTTCGGCATTTCTTTTTTATTTTTAGGTGAAAATTATGATGAACAAGTATAAAATAATATTAATAAAAAAAGAAATAAAATAAATCTTCAAAGACTATCCGTAGTTAGAGAACCATTGAAACGAGACTTGTATTTGTATTATATTGGTTTTTATGTTTTAACAAATTTAGATGATTCCTGTTAAATAAACAAACAAAAAAAATTAGAGACGCCCTTGTTTTGTAAACTTGTATGTGTAAATGTTCGCATGGTCGAAATGGAATTAATTTAAAAAAGTTGTATTTTGGTATTTAGCATGTTCGCCTCTGCCCTCTTTTTATGTAAATAAAATTATAATTATAGAGATGAAAGGAAAATGAAAAAATACGAAAAAACTGGAAATTACTGTTTTAACTTTGTCGCTAACTGTTGTAGTTGTTTAGTATTTATAAAGGTTCACTAGCAGTGTAAATTTTCTTATTATTTTTTGTTTTCTTCTATTTACACGATTCCTTCTTCTAAATATACAATTTATAAGGTGTAAACTATCTTACTTTTTTTAAACATTGAAATGTGCAATAATAAAGATATGTTTCCTCTATCCTCAACCATTAATTCCTCCAACAATAAGAAAATAATTTCCAATTATAATCAAACTGCTCAACAAGCAATATTGAGGAACAAATTATAACATTTATTTCAAAATTCATGCATATTAGGGATGCAACTTCTCGTTTATCCGGTTTTTATTTCTAGACCAAAAAGGGTTGCATCTTTACCTAAGTTTCTGTAAAATTCGTAATTGTAAGTATAGTTCTACGTGCAGTGTTTTATAAAACTATAAATTTATTAGTTAAGAGCGTCTTATCCTTCATAAAATAAATTAAACAGAAAACATTGGTAATTAAGTTTATTAATGTAAAAATGTGTACATTTAAATTAAAATGTACAAGAACAGGCATATTATCGTTTTCTGCGCAATTGTAGCGAATTCTTTCTGCGCCAGGCTGCCCTTCTGGAGCCCCCTGTTGTTTGTGAATATCTATGCCCTTTACCTAAACCTCTTGATGATCGGCCAGCCGAAGTGAGTCCCCTCAATTCACGATGTTTATGAACAGCCTTTACAATCCAATTTATCTTGGGATCCCTGCGGATTGCCTGCAAAATTCATAACATTACTCGAAAGAAATTAGTTGCAAGTAGTCTTGCAGTACTTCTAAGAGTATCAGACAAATTAAAGGGTAATTTTCTGCACATTTAATTAAGAGTGGTGCATGCCCAATCATCACAAAATATCTTCTGTTAATTTATATTACCTGTAATGAATCACTAATACTTACGTTATGTGCAGTGTCAACTAAAATAACTTCATAATATTTATAGGATGAGTCTTGTCCTACCCAATATGAGTTTAGGACCCTTAGTGCCCCACATCTTCTACCAACACGTTCCTAAAATTAATTACTCTGATACAAATTAATTGTAAATTTACATTTTAAATCATATTAAACTAATACTCTTCAGACATCCAAGGAAGTTCAATACTCATGAATTATCATAGGAAAACAATTATCATCACAGTATTAAATTAAACAATTAAGAAAGAAGGTCTTGGAAAGTACATTAGTTTTTTTGTAATATTTAGATATAGAAAATTATATCAATATATCGTATATTTCAATTAAAGACTTAATAATTTCCAGTTCCTTCTAATTAAATAAAAATGGGTGCATACCTCTGCAATTGATTGTAAGTTACGAGTAGGTTTCAATTGGTTGACACCATGTCCTTTAGGCTTTCCATAAGTACAGCCTTTGGGTACTGGACGTTTACGACCTCCACGTCGTACACGAATACGATAGATTACAAACCCTGAGCACATTATATAATTATAATCTACTAACAAACATTACTTAAACAATTAAAGTACTATACCTTGTTTAGCACGATAGCCTAACCTACGAGCCTTGTCAGGTCGTGAAGGCCTTGGGGCCCGATGAAGTTTTGTTAGCTGACGATATTGCCAAACACGAATCCTTAATAAAAATCGGAGAACGTCACTTTGTTTCTTCTTGTAAAGTTCCTGAATATATTTATAGGCTCCCATTTTCGCCTGAAATTAAAACAAACGCGTAAATCATGTCTCACGATACCTACCACATAAAATAACCTCTTCTTCCAAGAGTGATGAATTTTTTAAAAACTAATTGTACCTACCAACTCAATAAAAAATTAATATTTAACAATCTACAAATATATTAATTAACTTAAAGGATTACAACAATACCTAATGATTTATAATTATTTTCTTTCAGGATGCCTTACCTACAAACGATGGCAGCGCCAGTGACATCTAAAAGAGACGGAAGGGACTTCAATTACATCCATAGATAAATTATATCATATATGTGATAAATCATGGTAAGCCTGAACTTGTTCTTTTGATTGTTTATTATTTATCCTTATTTTATCCATATTACAAAGATAAGAGCGTTTCCAAATATTTAATTATTAGTCGCCAATAATTTAACCATTTCAAAAAAAAATAATTACACTATTTGGCCATAATTTAGACACCTCTGTTATTGACTATAAGTTCGTCTTATCTATGATGCCCTTCCATCTTAATCTCGTCTGTCTATGATTTCAACAACTCACGCAACTCACCATGTTATTTTGGAGTTTTGGTTATTTTGGTAAGGGCTGGTGCAGTTATTTCCAACGTTAGAGCTTAAGGTCATTATAAATCTGTTAATTTTATTACAATCCTCAAAATTAATGAATATATTTACAGACTATTAAATATTTTTTGTTTATTGGGCTAGAAAATAGTATTTATTTTTAAAGAATAGTGCATACTTTTTGCTGAGGTGTATGAGAAGCCATATAATTGACACAGTATTAATTTTAGTTTAACCATAAAGTTACGAGCTTTACCAGAAGAATAAAAGGCACATTCCTCAATTTTATTAAGAATTGATGTGAGAATTCCGTCAGCTAGTAGAACCTCATCCGCCCTCAAGACCACCAGACAAAACTCACAAATTAGGCTGTCCTGTTAGAAAAGGTATAGTTTTCATTGATCCGTAAAATGAGCACATTGTTATTAGATAACACATTCGTATAATAATCAGAAAACCTATACTCACTGAATAATCATTTATAGTTGATCATTTTACAGGAATATTATGAAAGTGGAGGTCATTGGTTGTATGTCTCTTCAACTCCAGAATGCGATAAAGTTAGAATTATCTGTAGGAAGCAGAAACTTTCTATTGTGGATAAAGATCTATAACAATGAATTGGTATGTAACAATATTAATTATTGACAGTAGTTATGTATATTTTGCTTATTTATAGTACAGTGTATAACAAATTTTTGTTTTGTTGTTTTTAGGTGCAGTCTTATTTAATGTTATGTTTATTTAATAGTGTGAATAATTTGTTTTTTTATCCATTTCTACAGATTGACTGAAGAATGAGAGACCATTGTGGTTGTTTGTCTGCAATGATATCATTTTCCTGGATCTGGATTACAATACCTTACAACATCATGCATTTAGTTTTGGACTGATGGGTGAGAGCATCTGAAACAACTTATGAGACAACTTATATCTACAATGGCATTAATCTTGGATTTGATTTGCTCTTCACACTTGGAAACTTTGGGCCTTACGTTCTAAAGTTAATTTAGGTGAGAATATATGACCTAATTAATTTTAATTGCTCGTTATTAATCTGTTACCACCCTATCTGTTTCAGGTCAACGGTGGAGAAGACAAAGAAGACCCCGTAGTTAAAATACTTCTTTACCTTGCATGGTATTTTGTAGTTTATTTTATTTGAAGTAGTTTTTATTTTGCATGCTTATTTTTGTTCATTTTATTTGAAGTAATTGTTGATTGTAGATGTTTTTATTTTTTTTTTGTATGTAGTAGTGTAGTAGTAGAAATAACACGTTTAGTAGTTGTAGTATAGTCTAACCTTGCTTACCTCTTCGCTTAGCTTACTGCATATTCTTCCTAATTTGCTTTGCATTTACCCTACGAGTTCTACATGATTCAACGTTTCGTTATCGTGTGTGTTTCTTCTCACCCTTGTGGAATTAGGGAGGGCCTCCCCGAACGACTTCCCTTGGGCTTAGCTATTTAGTTGATCTTAAAAGTGTCTTATACACTTTTCGCGAGTCTACTCTAGCGTTACTTCCTTTCAGACAGGGTACAGTGGGTTATCTGGAATAGGAGCAATAGGCGACTGCCCAGCTTGCCTTGGCGAAATCTGTCCGATCTTCTCTACCAAACCTATTAGTATTTGTCGTTAGTCCTTGTAATTGCACTATTCGCTTTCAGGTAACTGAAGAAGACTGAAGACATCCTATTGTTTGGTTTTTATTGTCTTTCTTTTACAGGTATTTTGTTTATGAACTGTTATATTATGTAATTGTAGCTTAGAATGATAGTCAAAATGTTTCTAAATTGATCTTTAGTCATAAATGTTAAAATTAAATTAAATATTTGTTATCGCTTTCACAATTAAAATTCATTTGGGTGGATAGGGTGGCTATAAGGGGAGATGCGGAGGCCACAGAGGGTTAAAGGGGCTTTTTTCTCCTTAATCTTGTGTTGAAAAGGTAATATAACAGTTCGTAAGTAATATAAGATTTTTTATTGCATATAAATGTGATCTGTTTTCTTTCTCTTACAGGTATTTTATTTTTACTCTGTAAACTGTTAATTAATTTCCTGGTATTGTAATTATTAAATGCGTTATATATATTATGAATTAAACTATTACTTGAAATAAATATGTTGTAATTAGTGTAATTATTAAATATATGAGTAATTAATAAAGATATTTTAATTTTATTAGTTATTTTATTAAATGAATCTTCAATATAGAAGTAATTTACTGAAAAATGAAGCAAAAATTTTCACTAAAAGTTGAATTTTAAAACTAAACTTACATAAAGAACACAATTCGAGCAATAAATTTTCTATTATTTTATAGTACCAGTAAAATCAAACTGCCATATATAGTTAATCCCGCGCTAAAAATTGGAACTCTAAAAAAGATCTTTCGCGACTTATGCTCTCCTAATACAAATTTTCAGATTTAACAAAATTTTCAGTTTTGCGTCATAGACGAGGGATGGTCAAAAAGTTATGGAACAATCAAATTTCAAAAAAACTTGACTTTTCCATTACTTTTCGACTAACCCTCGTCATTGGCTCAAAATTGAAAATTTTCATAAATTTCAACATTTGTATTAGGAGAGCATAGGTTGCATCGGGTCTTTTGAATTTTCCATGACTTTTCGACTAGCTCTCGTATTAAGCGATCGCAGTGCCCTCTAGCGGTAGACGGCCGAACCCGAGTAGTTCGGCTATTCGCCACCAGGGGCCCTCTAGCGGCAGACTGCCGAACTACGGTAGTTCGGCTATTTGGCACAAGGTGGCGCTGCGATCGTTAAGGACTTTTACTTAATACGAGGGTTAGTCGAAAAGTAATGGAAAATTCAAAAGACCCGATGCAACTTATGCTCTCCTAATACAAATCTTGAAATTTACGAAAATTTTCAGTTTTGAGCCAAATACCAGGGTTGGTCGAAAAGTAATAAACAATTCAAAAATTGTTCTTTCAAAAAGACCCCATGCAACTTATGCTCTCCTAATACAAATGTTGAAATTTATGAAAGTTATCAGTTTTGAGCCAAATACGAGAGTTAGTCGAAAAGTAATGGAAAATTCAAGTTTTTTGAAATTTGTTCCATAACTTTTTGACCATCCCTCGTATATGACGCAAAACTGAAAATTTTGTTAAATCTGAAAATTTGTATTAGGAGAGCATAAGTCGCGAAAGATCCTTTTCAGAGTTCCAATTTTTAGCGCGGGATTAACTATATATGGCAGTTTGATTTTACTGGTACTATAAAATAATAGAAAATTTATTGCTCGAATTGTGTTCTTTATGTAAGTTTAGTTTTAAAATTCAACTTTTAGTGAAAATTTTTGCTTCATTTTTCAGTAAATTACTTCTATATTGAAGATTCATTTAATAAAATAACTAATAAAATTAAAATATCTTTATTAATTACTCATATATTTAATAATTACACTAATTACAACATATTTATTTCAAGTAATAGTTTAATTCATAATATATATAACGCATTTAATAATTACAATACCAGGAAATTAATTAACAGTTTACAGAGTAAAAATAAAATACCTGTAAGAGAAAGAAAACAGATCACATTTATATGCAATAAAAAATCTTATATTACTTACGAACTGTTATATTACCTTTTCAACACAAGATTAAGGAGAAAAAAGCCCCTTTAACCCTCTGTGGCCTCCGCATCTCCCCTTATAGCCACCCTATCCACCCAAATGAATTTTAATTGTGAAAGCGATAACAAATATTTAATTTAATTTTAACATTTATGACTAAAGATCAATTTAGAAACATTTTGACTATCATTCTAAGCTACAATTACATAATATAACAGTTCATAAACAAAATACCTGTAAAAGAAAGACAATAAAAACCAAACAATAGGATGTCTTCAGTCTTCTTCAGTTACCTGAAAGCGAATAGTGCAATTACAAGGACTAACGACAAATACTAATAGGTTTGGTAGAGAAGATCGGACAGATTTCGCCAAGGCAAGCTGGGCAGTCGCCTATTGCTCCTATTCCAGATAACCCACTGTACCCTGTCTGAAAGGAAGTAACGCTAGAGTAGACTCGCGAAAAGTGTATAAGACACTTTTAAGATCAACTAAATAGCTAAGCCCAAGGGAAGTCGTTCGGGGAGGCCCTCCCTAATTCC